TGAAAATGATACTGGTTAACAACCTATTTAATTCAATTATTTAAGCTACGATTGTGATTCGAGTAGCTTTCTGTTATTCATATTTACAGAATATGATGATTTCCACCATTTGGGTTTACACTTTTTCTTTTCGTTGAACAATTTTAGACGGTTCCTACTGTATAACAAGACATGACGAAACTTCAGTGAAAACGCTGGGCTTTCTGAATATTATTCAATTATGAGACGTTTTAGGGCCATGGAAGTGAGTGTTATGATTAAGGAAAATCGGTTGTTTTTTGACGTGCTTAACTCGATAATAATTAATGACTGAAACCAAGAAAAGTTTTATGATCTAGAAATGTTAGAACTTCTAGAGTGAAGTAGCCAGGTGTTGATTGTCTTTTAGTATATGTGGAGGGTTTAAACCCCTTTCGATAACAGGAATAATCATACATTTGCAGGACGTAGAGTGGGCTGCAAAATGTACATATGTAAATTACTAAAATTTTACAGGAGCATTGTAATAAGGATCCATGAGAAACTGCCCCATAATCTAACCACCCACTGCACAAGCTTCATTAATTTACAGAACTCATTTGCACCATACCCAAGCTGTTGGCACTTCACATACATCCATTTATCGATTTAGTTCTTTATTTATATTGTCCACATGCTTGTCTTATCATTGCACATCTCCTGTAAAATACTTTTTTCATACTTATTTGTCCTTGTATCTTTAACTTTAGATGTTTAGTTGTATGATTAATTTGCTTATGCCGTGACACCACCCGCATCAAAATAAATTCCTTGTTCTTCTCTGTACTTGGCGAATAAAAAAAATGATTCTAATACCAGCTACAAAACGCAATAAGACGGTATTAGAACGTAGCTTAAGTTCTATAGAATAAAAAGTCTGACAGCACACTTCCTGTCAATCGTGCGTTATGGTCTCCATAAATTCAAATACTGAAATACCCTTGAATTATAAGCTTTTCACACGCTTTGTTCCCATGACGTCTTTGCTCCAAATACATCATATGTACGGCATCTCTAGTGTGTCAAACTTCACCAGGCCACAACGATTAATGGTTTTGACGGTCACGGCAAATCGATTAAATTTGTGGAAACTTTAAAAAGTGGAAATCCATAGAAAATGTGTATGTTTTTTTTTTTTTTTTTACCTTACCAAGCTGTTAATTTCAATAACTAATGCTTTTTGTGCATGGCAATCATCTTTTCAGTTTTGTCTGTTAATTCACAGAAACAGGAAATATGTTTAATATGCTTTTACTAAGGTGTCTCTAGGTTGTCTGTACTCCTCGGTTGTTTGTATGAAGGGTTAGGGTTAGCCGTTTCACGTTTGTTCTGTAACGATGAAGGTTACTGAAAGAAATTTCTGATGAAGCTTTATATATGATCATATATAGTTGCTGCTGATAGCATTCTTGCCTGCACTACAGACATGTCAAAGCTGCATAAGTTGTAGCTTTCGCTTTTTAAGAATAGTGACAGGGACCAGGCAGCTAACTTCCAGTCGGGATCTGTTTTTTTTTTTTTTTTTTAATTATTCCTCGGGAAATATTTGGAGCAGGATTTCATCCAAGGTGTACCCCAATCTTGTGTCATGTGTTGCCCGATATACTGTAGGATTCTGACTCCATGCTACCCTGATCAGGGGTACATTTCCCAAAAGCTCCCGTTAGCAACGTACACAGTTCAGTTGCATAGTTCAAACTCTGTAAGCTGCCAACGCTGTTAGCAACTATGCTTTTGGAAAACGTACCCCAGGATAAGCGGTAAGAAGAGGCACCTTATAAAGCGCAGGGTTGCAAACCCTCGCACATCTGGAGCGAAACTCTCACTTACAGACTAACGCTCACGCAAGAAATCATATGGCAATTTGTATTATTCCATTATAAACCTAAAATTAGCTACATCAAAAGCGTTGGGTCAGTTTGCAAACCCTACAAACTATTTAAAAGGTAATACAACTTACATACTAGTCTCGAATTGAAAAATCTCACTCCAGCTAGCTGACCGAAATTCAGCAACTCTGAAAGCGTCATCGATAAAGCACAGTAAATACTAACCAAATATTGTACTTTTTTCAATACGCTGAGTTATATCTCATTACCTCCAGATATGTAGCAAGTAATGGTAGATTGTTAAAATGTGAAGTTTTACGGCATGATTTTCCCGCTAAATATTAGTTTACCGTTTCCATGGCGTTTCCACACTGTTGGTTTCATAATAAAAGTTACTGTTATGTTTAGCACCTCATTTATATGAAAAAAATCGGACTTAAGAGATTAATGCGGTAGGCAATTCAGTTTGTACGAATTGGTTTAAAGATCAGGCAGAAGCTAAAATGTTTGAAGTTGAATATGTAAAACTGCAGAATGATGAAATAACCAAGACACATTCAACACAAAACGTAATAATTTAAGAATAAATCAATAAAGCATTATACTATACATTTGTGATTTATAGCATACACATTGATAGCGAAAATAATGTCTGCATAATACATAAATACATTCCATAAAAGAAGAAAATAAGTACTAGCGTGCGCAAATTTTGCTTTTATTTTGAAAAATTCAGGACCGTGACCTTAGGAAGTGAAATGTCTAACCCGTATTGTGGCAAAATGGCATGTTTATGTGCGTTTCACACATGAATCCACGAGAAGTGTTAATGCTGCTAACATATTTTTCTATTTATTAACAAATTATTTCGTGGTGGAATCATAGATAATAGGTAGCCATGTAGCGAATAAAAGTATTTGTAGTATTTTGTAAGTTTCGGCAAAGGTATTATCATTTGCTATTTAGTAAGTTAGCTGGGTTAGAGTCTGCTTATAAATTACATGCGAAATGACAGAACCTTGGTGAGTTCTCAGGTTACAGCTCTGCTGCTGTATTTTGTCCTAAAGAGCTGCAATTAGCTTTTTGTATCTTTGCAAAATAGAGCGAAGTACTAACTTTATATTGATAAACTGCATTAGTATTTATTCTAGTGTTATCTAAGGATATAAATAATTAAACTAATCCATCCCCCAGTCGCTTAACAGTACGGGGTCATAGATATATAAGTAATTAGCAAAACTATTTCTTGTTTTTTTTTTTAAAACTAGTTCTGAAGCAGCTCGAGCAATCAGGCCCATAGACCGGAACTCGGTGCACCAGATCTGCTCCGGACAGGTCGTGCTGAGCCTGGCTACAGCTGTGAAGGAGCTGGTGGAAAACAGCATAGATGCTGGAGCTACCAATGTAGGCAAGTATGCTTTGTGGGCACGTCAAGTTCTGCACAAGTAAATACTATATGTATAACTGAAACATTATTGTTTAATGTCTTAACCAGTTTTACTGTGTATCTTAATGTTTTTCTATTTTCTGTCTTTTCTATTCTGGTTATGTTGCCATTGTTTTCCAGTTAATGCACAAGAACAGATGTCAACACAATTTCGTTGTACTGAAGTAAAATGACAATAAAGCTCTTTCTCTAGCTTATCTAATAAACTTACTCATGTTTTGAAGGTATTAGTATATGGTTTAGCATATTAAGCCTAATGTCTGAAATCTTTAAGTAATTTGGTTATCCTCAAATATTTTTGCTGTTAACTGCCGGATTATTTTCTTTGGTACTTTGTAGAGATTCGATTGAAAGAATATGGATCAGAATTGATAGAAGTATCTGACAATGGAAAGGGAGTGGAGGAAGGCAATTTTGAAGGACTGAGTGAGTAGCAAAACTCAATTGAGTGTATCAATAAACTGTCAGTAGATTATGTTCTTCTTTAATTGTACTGTAATGCCTATTTTGTACTGTGCTTCTTTGCAGCATTGAAGCACCACACCTCTAAACTGCAAGATTTCTCTGACCTCATTCACGTAGAAACATTTGGCTTCCGAGGTGAAGCTCTCAGTTCACTGTGTGCCCTTAGGTATGGCTCTTTGGGACATGCCTCATTGTGTTGTCCTAATGTCACGCGTCACACAGAGGCTTTACTTGGGTGTAAGTTTAATGTTTATCGCACTCGTTGGGTTACCATTAGCACCTCTTATTCCAAACCTTTGGTACATTTACGGCACATCTGTTTGTTGTCACGTAAGTTGCACTATAATATTCATTGAAAAGGGTGCATATTTTGTAATTATCCTTAATAGTTTTTGGGTTTATTATGTTCACAGATAATGGGCTCACAGACAATTGCTGTTAATGATAATATATGTAAAATATTGCCATGTTAATCATTTGATGATGTGTGATTAAATCTTAAATGTCTTTGATCCTCAAATCATATACTTAATTGTGAGATGAAGTTTGTTTTGTTTAGCATATGAAAAGTTTAATCTGTTCCTGAATTTCCTGCTTCCTTCTTTCCATTGGATATATAATATTCCTTTGTGAGAACTCCCTTGTGCTTTTGCTGTGTTTTTTCTGGTAGCCTTCCTACATGATGCTGGTGTTCGTCTTGACATGTCCATGTTATCCCACAGTGACCTGAGTGTGGTGACATGCCATGAGTCCGCCCACGTGGGCACACGCCTCGTCTTCGATCATGACGGCCACATCAGCCAGCGCAGCCCCCACCCTCGGCAGCAGGGCACCACCGTGCTGCTGCAGAACCTCTTCTACACACTGCCAGTTCGCCACAAGGAATTTCAGCGAAACGTCAAAAAGGTGCTGTGGGGAGCTTTATGTTGAGGAAGTGTGCCAGTGGCCAGCTAATAGGCAGCCTTCGTACAACGTTTGTTTTAAGATAATCTTTGTACTGAGATTTGGCACGCATTCATCTGTTTTCTGTTGCTGTTTTTCATTTTAAGTTTGACTGATTGTTTAAAAGTAAGAATTCAGTTAGAGGTGTTTCATACTTCAGGTTATTTGTAATGCAATGACCCCAATTTTTTATGCTTTTTTTTAAAGATCAACTGAGAAGGTGTTTGATAAAGTCATGGTATTTTCTTGGGGATACAAGTTCAGCGGCATGATTCCTGTGTGTCGTGCAGGAATATGCCAAAATGATCCAGGTCCTGCAGTCATACTGCATCATCTCCACGGGAGTGAGGATAACCTGCACCAATCAGATCGGCCAGGGCAAGCGCAACGTTGTGCTTTCCACCAATGGCAGCCAAAGCATGAGGGACAACATTGGAGCTGTGTTTGGGCCCAAACAAGTGAGAAAATCACGTTTGTTTGCCGTGCTTTTGTCACTTAAGAGATTGAGAATTAGAGCCAAATACAAATCTTAGTTTTTCATTGTATGAAACATTTTATCCCCATTAATAATTTCCCATAACTAAAATGTATCCATGATTGGTATGTGAAGTATGGTTCAAGAGTAAAAATGATCGTGTTTAATTTAATGCTCCTGTATGTCTTTGTTTAGCTCCAGAGTTTGCTGCCATTTCAGCAGCTTTCTCCCACTGAGGCTGTCAAGGAAGACTATGGTCTCAATGACGCACACTTACCCACTGATCTTTATGTGTAAGTTTGGTAGCTAATTCTTTCACAAATTGCCAACCACTTTTTTTCTCTCTCGATTTATCAGTGTCCACTCTGTATTTATAGAAATGTTGAGTACATTAACAAAGGAGCTTCTCAGTTTTTGTGAGTGCAATTCTCGAAAGGAAAAAAGAACAACTGAAAAGAATTTCTAAATATGAGACGGATTGCTGTGCAGGATCTCAGGGTTCGTGTCACGTGGAGATCACGGTGTGGGTCGAAGCTCCACTGACAGGCAGTTCTTCTTTATCAACGACCGTCCATGTGACCCCTCAAAGGTACTTGAATGACAGTACAGATGTAGGTTGTTTACGTAAGCCCATTTGTCTTTATGTTGCTTAAAACATATACATGTATATATTCCATATATAACATATGTTTCACTTTATTTTCAGGTTTCCAAGCTTGTAAATGAAGTTTATCACATGTTTAACAGACATCAGTACCCGTTTGTTGTTTTGAATATTTGCGTTGCTTCAGGTAAGACAGTGTAACATTTCAGACCAAATATTCTATTTAGATGTCAGCTGGAGTTATTATTTTTACAAAATTGTGTTCCCTGTGTCAAATACTGCACACCTCACTATGTGTAATAACTCGACCTAATTAGTTGGCAATTCATTTAATGTAATCATTTAAAATGCTTACCCCGCTGTTTGTTTCAGACCGCGTTGACGTTAATGTTACCCCTGACAAGCGTCAGATCTTCCTTCAAGAAGAAAAACTTTTGTTAGCCATTCTGAAGACCTCCCTGGTAGCCATGTATGATACTGGTGTAAACAAGATCAGCCTTAACCACACAAACTTGCCTATGCTGAGTAAGCATCATAATTGATTCCCAAAGATTTTTTCATATTTCTGTATCTACATGTTTATTTAGTATGTTTGTTATGTGTTTACAGGCACGTGTAGGGATGTTGTTCAGTCTCCAGATGTAGAACAACCTGAGACTGTCATGGAAACAGAAGTTCTTCCAGAACCATCTCTTTCCCTCACAAACTCCTCCTTGAACCTGGCCGGGCTGAGGGCTGCATTTTCATTGCATCAGGTGGCAGGTGGAAAAAACCAGCCTAACAGCAGTAAAACTAGTTTTCATGCTCCAGCTCAGAAGAAGTTAAAGTGCTTTTTCGGCAGTGCTGACAAAAACATGATACAGCAGCCTTCTAGAAATGCACAGGACTCCGTAGCACCATCATTTTTGAAGACCCCAGTGGCAGAAGGCAATGGAAGTGAGCTAACTGGGGACAGTAACATGGACACTAACAGTGGGAGTGTGTTGCCTGAGCTGGCAGAGCAGTACTTGGGGATGGGGACTGGAGAACATGCGCTCAAATCTGGATCAGCATTCAGTTCCCCAGAGGAGAAGGCTGTTAACAATAGTGAGAGTGAGAACCACTGTGGAAAGGGAAATGAAGACCATGAGTCCAAGAAGGCCTCCGTCTTGAGCGGAGCTGATCCCTGTAGACACAAAGAGCCTTGCAACTCGAGTCCTGACACTAAAAGGCCTAAGTTAGAGGCCGTAGTCTCAGGCATGAAAACTGCCCCCGGTGTGATCAAGCTTGATGCCCCAGTCAGCATGATAAAAAAAATCGTTCCGCTTCGCTTCTCTTTACCTGATCTAGCAGATCGTTTGCGGAAACTGCAGGAGCAGAGAAAGGAGAGAGCTAGTGAAGGGCTGAAGTACAGGCGGTTTAGGGCGAAGATAAACCCAGGGGAGAACCAGACTGCGGAGGATGAGCTGAAGAAGGAAATCAGGTATTATTACAGATTTGGAAACACAAGAAGAATATTTATGTGGGGGAGTGGAATTACTCTTTTGAAATTGGCATAAACGAGCTGCTTTATGTAATGTAAACCAATTTATGGAGCATTGGTGTCTATATGACTACTTTTGCTATAGTACATGGGAAACCCTTAATTTTTAACTCAAGATTTTGTAAATATACAGGCGCTTCTCTACTTACGAACTTTCAACTTACAAACTTTCAGACATACGAACGAAGAGTCAAAATTGTGTTCCTTGGGCTCCTGTTTCCGATCTACAACAATTTTTTTCTTTCTGCGCGCCAATTCCACCTAGTACGACATCTAGCCGCTACTCCCGCCGCACTGCAGCGTAGTGTTCATACTCCCAGCATACTAGTTCTTTGTACTTGCGTATACCCTTAAAATGATGTTGAATAACGACTTACGAACATTTCAAGTTATGAACGCCCGTTCAGAACGTATCTCATTCGTAAGTAGAGGAGCTTCCGTACTTTGCCGTTAAAATTTTGGTTTACAGCTACTTGGAAAACACGAAAGAAAGACTTTTCTATGGCTGGATGATTAAATATGTTAGAAATCTGTTTCTGTTTCTTCCAGTAAAGACATGTTTAAAGAGATGGAGATTATTGGCCAGTTCAACCTTGGATTCATCATCACCAAACTAAAATCTGACATTTTTATGATAGACCAGCATGCCACAGATGAAAAATATAACTTTGAGATGTTGCAACAGCACACAGTGTTGCAAGGGCAGAAACTTATAGCGTAAGTATTCTGGAGCCTACCGCATATGATATATCCATAAATGCAGTATGAGTTTGGACTTGTTTTCATCTAAACTCTGAATTTGTTTGCTTAAGCTGTTGAGACACCTTGATCATATTTTTGGCGATATCTGTTTCTGCTAATAAAGCTAAATTTGTTCCATTCACCTAACTGGTATACTTACGCTAAAATGTAAAGTGGTGCCATATAATACTGCATCTAGTTAATAACGCTTGTTTATTGAAGGAATACGAAATATGATTTATTATAACTTTACTTCACCATGTTGATTACATTTTAAAGGTGTAAACGTACAATTAATTTTAAATCTTGTTGCTTGTCATTTTTATTTATCATTCATGTAGTCTTCTGGTTATTTGTATTATTTTCAGTCCACAGAAGCTTCACCTCACAGCAGTGAGTGAGACAATACTTATGGAAAATGTGGAAATCTTCAAGAAAAATGGTTTTGATTTCCTTATTGATGAGGAAGGTATCTATTCCAAAATTTCATTTACAGATCAGAATGCACCTTAGAGCGTCACCATCCCTATTGACACTGAAGTCAGTGATATGTTGGCATTAGTGTGTTGCTGATGTATGAATCTTCCTTTTCAAAGCCCAAGTCACAGAGCGGGTGAAGCTGGTTTCTCTTCCCACAAGTAAAAACTGGACCTTTGGACCAGCTGACATCGAGGAGCTGGTCTTCATGCTGAGCGACAGCCCAGGGGTCATGTGCAGACCTTCCCGTGTTAGGCAGATGTTTGCTTCTAGGGCTTGCCGTAAATCGGTGAGAGGCCGCACTTAAATCGTTATGCTGTGTATTTGCGTTAACATAGAATATTTTTAATGTGACATGAGTAATTACTGGAATTACAATTAAAAACGTTGTATGTATAATGAGTTTATCAAGAGTAAATGGGCTAAAATTAGACTAAGTAGACTATAGAATTTGAATGTCTTACTTGCAGAAAGTTTGCATCACTTTTAAGCCGAATACCTGTCATCACTCTTATAAAGTGAGTAGAATATTCTAAATTAAGCAAAAGTTCTGGTTTTTGTGTCTTCAATTTAACCATGTTCAAGATACTTTTGAAGAGAAGAGCAGATCTTAAGCAGTTTGTGATGTTCCCTGATGCTGAATGTCTCCCATCTTATTAGGTGATGATTGGCACTGCCTTGAAGAACAGTGAGATGAAGAAACTGGTAGCACACATGGGTGAAATTGAGCAGCCATGGAACTGTCCCCACGGAAGACCCACCATGAGGCACCTAGCCAACCTGCACATGCTCACTCAAGACTGATGCCTATACTGCCACCTAGTGGCCATGCTTTGAAATGCATCACAACCCATGTTTTTATTTTGCCATGTAACAAGCATGTTGCATTAATACAGACTTTTAGTGTTTTATTCAGTTTTAAACCAAAACGTGGGTTTGCATTGAAAAAAATCACCTGTAAATTTTAGTCAGTAGATACAAATTATTTTGATGGCTCATCTTTGACAGATATAACTAATCTTTAGTTTCTTTTTCATGTTGAATAAAAATGTATTTTTATTTCTATCCAAGTTTTTTTTTTCATGCTTTCAGTCTTGATTTATTTTTCTTGAAATGGGAACTCATTTTTGAAGTTCGTTTTTGTTGAATTACCTCAAGCAGCTTTTACCGCAAATATTCATTGCAAAACACAATTTATAGTTTCATACTGAGGCCAAATGTTCCATTTTAACCTTTTTTCTTTCAAATTTCCTATAAGGTTTCCATTAGTTTCGTCTTGTTTCGGGTCTGTTGAGAGATACTTCTGCGATTCCGCCTCCGAGCTCCTTACCCCCGCCCTTCTTTCCCTTAGCAACGGCGTCCCGGTCGCCAAGCACGCTTTGTATGTGGTAGTGATAGCTGGGGGATCTCAAGTAGGAAATGGCGAAAGGAGACCAGAAAAACACAGATGAGAATCCAACAGACGAAACGGCCGGCATTAACCCCGCGCTTAGCTGCTCTGCGCTTAGCTGCTCTGCACCTAGCGTTGTGTCGGAGGCTCCGCTAGTCCCGCAACTTCAGACTGCGGAGTTCAGTTCGGAGTCCTTGGCGTCGCAGGCGTCCATCACCACCAACCCGGAGTACATCGGTGCAAAGTTCTGCCCAGAGCCACTTTTCAGCAGTATCGTGGTTCAAAGGTCAAACGATTCCCTTTTACCGTAGCATTACGTTTTAACATGACAGAATAAAGACAACTGACATGCATGCACGCTGATTGCAGGTACGATGGAGAAATGCGTGGTGACCTGTTTCATGGTGAAGGCACCGCTTATTTTCTGGGCGGTAATACGTATAAGGTACATTCATTATAAAAGCTAAGTGTGCGGACTGTCCTGCTTTTTCCAAAATTAACTGAAAAAGTAATTTGTCGTATTTCCGAAGGGTATGTTTGCAGAAGGATACATGCACGGACGGGGTTTGTATACCTGGGCAGACGGGGTAATATATGAGGTAACTTTCACACCATTCATTATGATTATTTCGTCGTGTTCACTTTATTTTTTATGTATTTTATCACCGCATGTGTAAGTCAGTAAAGTGTATATAGGCTGAGAAAAAAATGAAACCGCTTCGTGCAATTCACACGTAATCATTTTATAGATGTAGATGTGGATTATGTTAATCATGTGCTGAAGCAGGCTGCGTGTAAAACATATAATACTGTCGTGCTTTGGCGTTAATAAGCTCAGAGGCTTATTGGCATTAAAATTTGACTGTCAGGATTTAATTCTAAATTGCAGGGCGACTTTGTTCTGAATGTGCCCACGGGATATGCGAAATATACCTGGCTGGATGGCAGCTGGTACGAAGGTGAGGTGCAGAACGGACTGCGACATGGTGTGGGAACCTACAGATGTGGCACCAAGCGCGTTTCTTACTGTGGTCAGTGGTACCATGGCAAGAGACATGGAAAGGTATTTCTGTGATCAGTGGCGGAACGGGACAATATGCAGTTTTCAGCTTGGTTTATGCACTGGTTTCTTGCATTAATACCTAAAATGAATATGTTAAATTACGTTGTAATGGTGAATGAACTTGTACTCATTATTGATGTATAAGATGTATCCTTATGGATCTTTATGTACCTTTGAGATGTTCAGACTCATTACTATAGGTTGGTTCTTCATTATTATTACTGCTGTTTGCTTATTTGTTTGTTTTCAGGGTAAAATATTCTATAACCAGGAGATGACATCATGGTATGAAGGTGACTGGGTGAACAACACGATAGATGGATGGGGAGTGAGGCGGTAGGTGTGAAAACAAACAAGTCTGATGACTGACGACATGCATTTTTCTATGGCTATATGCAAATGACATATGGGAGGATTCCGTGAAGGTATATGTATTGTGGAGCTCATGGAAGTTTTACTTATAGATGTTCTGAGTGCACAACGAAAAATGACTGGTTCAGAGAGATAACCAATCAGTTTGTAGAGTAGGTGGGTCCAAGCAATTAGAGGAGGTGGGACCAACCAATCAAATGTCTCGTTCCCACCTTCTCTAGTTGCTTGGACTTACCTCCAGCATTGATAATGTAGAATAAATAGGTGGTGTACTATATATGCTATATATAGTACTGAGAGAGGTTGAATAGAAAGAAGGGATGTATTGAAGTATTTCAGCAGTATATTTGGCATATATGTGTTGATTCATGTATATTTCGAATTATTCTGTGTTGTTGTAGTTATCTCTCTGGGAATGTATATGAAGGCCAGTGGAAGGACAGCAGGAGACATGGAGAAGGCACGATGAAATGGCTGACGTTGGGTCAGCAGTATAGTGGCCATTGGGAAAATGGAATCCAGGTATAGCAACTCCTGATAATGCTTCTCACTGACTGAGTGCCAGTGTAGCACGTTCCCCATGCTCACCAGGAAAGAGATTTTTTTTTACTGGTCAAAAGTAGAACTGGAGGTTTGTGACCGCAGTTTTCAATATAAGGACGAACTGTGGAAAGCCAACTGCACTGCATGGTTCACAGCATGGCCACGGGACACACACATGGTTCCAAAGAAGAATCGCTGGCTCTCAGTATCCCCAGAGGAATGAGTACACCGGGCAGTTTGTGCAGGGCGCACGCCAAGGTCAAGGCACCTTCTTCTATGCCAACGGGGCATCATATGAAGGAGGCTGGCAGGTCAACAGAAAGCACGGCCAGGTCAGCTGGGTCACCTGTATTACCTGTATTCTTCTGTCAACGGAGATTCTTGTCAGATTCTTCAAAAATTCGTTTAAATTGATTTGATGCTTCCATTGCAGGGAAAGTTTACGTCTAAGAATGGGCATGTTTCTGAAGGAGACTTTGTGGATGACCGCATGACTGAATTCCCAGCATTCCCAAAAGATGCTGTGTTGACACCAGATCTCAACATATTAAGGACTCCCACTTCTATTAGTGCAGACAGTTAGTATACACTGTAAAATTTAACAGCAAAACATATTATAATAAGAAGAGAGTGATTATTTCCATTATCATTGAAGGTTATGATGACTGCTTGATCATCTTTTTGGGTGCATTTTGACCACATATGTCTCCAAAATGTGCTGCTAAGGTGACTCACCCTGGGATACCTCTGGATCAGGCCCTGGGTCATCATTACTCAGCCAAGACATGACACTGGATATCCGGTCCCTGTTAGTTCAGTTCCCTGAACCACAGAGAGATGCTGAACTCAAACAGGTCAGTGTGGTTGGCTGTAAATATAAACACTGATTCAGATTGACTGAGGGTTACACTGACTGAGAGTGCGTTGAAATTTCATACTTGCATACTTGTTTGCTGTGTAGTATGCGAAATGTAGTATATGAAGTGAGTGAAATGCCCAAATCCTCCGTATGGTTGAGAAAGTAGGTGAGTGGTACCCGGATGACATACTACATTGTGTGAGATTCTGAAGTGCGCAAATGGTGGATGCTCACAAGGGCACTGGAGCTTCAAATGTTGCTTGTACAGAATAATCTTTCAAGAGGGCAGTGGAAGTGCCAGCTATGTATACATTTAAGTAGAAAACAATACCCAGTTTCATATGTTGACTGGAATATGTTTTTTCCATTAAATAATTTTTAAGAGTCTTTAAGGCTTCCAACCCTCGTCACTGGTAAACATGGAGGTCAGGTAATATGCAAGATGGTGACTGCAGTATGTCCAAGCATGCGTACATACAGTATGTACTACATTCACAGTTGAGTAGTAGGCTTCTAGCGACATTCAGTATGTACTGTGTAATTATGTGATTTCGGACTCACCCTGGGAATACTGAGCTGCTCAGTATCACTAGGCATGAATCAGTGATGAAGGTGCTCCCTCAGAAGGGAGACGAACCTCATTGTAATGCAGTTTCTCTCTGTCCATCTGATAGATGGTGTTGGCAATGCTGAGACATGCAGCAGAGCTCAGGAGCACATACTGCTTCTACAGCCGGCTGGGCCACGACTCTCCAGACAACACCTTCCTGCTCTCCCGTTTGCAGTTCTGGCGTCTGCTGAAGGACTGCAAGGTCCACCAGGAGGGAATCACTCTGGCCCAAATGGACCGGATCGTTGGCAGTAAGTGACCAATAGGGAAGCATTACCGAGTTCAGGAGCTGCAGCCCAAACAACTGTAAGGTTGCATGTACGGGCCGGTCATCATGTTCATGTGCCTCACGACAGGCGATGATACCCCAGAGGACATCCACTCTCCTTTTGGAACTCTGTTGCTCAGGAACTTCTTGAGCCACCTCGTGATCCTGGCCAATCACATCTATCACAGAGAGATGCCGTAAGTGGCCTTGTTGAAGTTCACGGGGAGTCAAGGGGGGGTGGCTACCAATGACTTATAAGATTCTTTTTATTTAGCCTTTTCAGATCATCTGGCAACGTGCTTGTGACCTGCTTCTCTAAGCTAATGGAGGATAACATCCTTCCCAATGCAACAAATGTTAAAGGTATAGAGACAAACCTGTTGTATCGTACATTCTTAACTCAGACACAATATTATGAATAAATTCACCTGCTTTGTTGTTTCTAAAGCAATGCAATGTCCAATTTGCCTTTATGATTTTTGTGGGGGTGGCACAGTGGTGCAGTGGTTAGCACTGTTGCCTTATACCTTTCGGACCAGGGTTTGAGTCTCCGCCATGCCTCAGTGTTTGCATGTTCTCCCTGTGTCATTTGGGATTTCCTCTATGTACCCATCCTGGGTTGTTCCCTGCCTTGTGTCCATAAGCTCCAGACCCCCAGGACTCTGCATAGGACAAGCAGTTACAGAAAATGAGCAGATGGCTGGATTTATGTGAAAACATCCATCTGCCCCTATGATTCTGACTAGATAAGCAGTTAGAAGATGGACGAATAGATGTCCATCCATCCAGCTTCTAACTGCGTATCCTGTGCAGGTTTGCTGGGGGGCTGGATCCAGGTTCAAAGAACATATGATACAAGGCAGGATCCTGGATGAGATGAGCTGTAAAAACATGAATAAGGGAAATGGATGTTTGATGCCAATGATTAACAACATATACAGCCTCTCCCCGGGTTACGATGGGCTTATGTTCCGATAAACCTATTGTAAAGGGAAAATATCGTAAGGCAAAAATGCATTTTAAAACAGTACACCTAACCTAACAAACATCATAGCCTAGCCTATAGCCTACCTTGAAAACATGCCTAAAACACTTACATTAGCCTAAAGTTGGGAAAATAATAATTAACACACTGCATATTTTATAATACAATGTTGAAAATCTCATGTAATCCATTGAATAATTTACTGAAAGTGAAAAACATTTACCCAGTCTAAAAAGTCGTAATATTGTAACACGGACCATCGTAACCTAGGAAGCATCAGTACAGTAATTATCACTGGGCACACACTTCTGTCAAGATTTGAAAAACAAAGTTTGAAACAAGTTACGAGGTACTTCAGTTTGAAAAACTGAAGCGTTTACATTAGGGGGACATGGACTTAACTAACAGTTAGCGTAATCGTGTGAGTGATATGTATGTGTTTATGTATGCAATTTGTTTCTAAATGTTTTGTTTCGTGAATCCAGGTATTCTTTTCTCTTACCCACTCCATGCTGTGGTGGCCTCTCATTATCTGATGAGATGCTGGGAGATCTACCAATACTTCTGCAAGCAATATTCCAGGGCCCCACGTAACCTTACCTTAACCAAGAGACACTTTATCTGGATACTCAAGGTACCTGCGTAGGTCAATTTGGGGACACTCATAACTGATAAAGTGTGCTCAAGGTTCACTGTTTTCACTTTGAGGTGTTCAGAGAATGAAGAAGTATTGTGAGAGTTTGAATTCAGATGCTAATTACTCTGCAGTTCTGACTGAAAAAAGTCCTCCCACCTAAAATATATCTTCAGACTTTGTTGTTCACTTACATTCTCTGGCCACTGAGTGGCATGAGTTGTACATTTAGAGAAGCCTTTTTGCACGCGACTGTTGTATTGAGCTGCTGTTGTTGCATTGGTGGCCTTTTCGTTAGCTTTAATGAGTCCATTGTCTTCTTATCTCTCTCATTAACCACACACACCACTGGCTAGATTTTTGTTCAACACACTATTCTCTGTAAAACTGTAGACATTGTAGTGTGTAAAAATCCCAGGAAGCTGGATGTTTCTGAGATGCTGGAACCACTGTGCCTGGCAGCAATAGTCACATCACCAATCACACTCAAAATCTGGCATCTCAGCCAGATGTTTCTGCAACAGAGGCCTGGAGAAAATTACTGGCACTTTCCACAATAGGTTTGATATTGATTTGATTAAGATTTAGTTTTCATGAAAAGCATAGTTTTTGTTAAGGATTTTCTCAGAGAATCCACTTCCGCAAATATCTCTTTGATGTTTGCACATGACCCCGTCACCATTAGCAGAAATAACAAATGTTACCATTTTGTGCCAGTGTATTCAGTAAGAGTGGATTTCTCTGACTTCATTGCTAGGACCTGAATGTGTATGATGATAAACTAACCACAGGGAAAGTTCTCGAGATCCTGTTTACCGAAAGCCTTCCACTAGAAGATGTTTCACACAGGAACCTGGATCTGGAGGCAAGCATTTTATTAAAGAACATCACAGTCAAAAATGTGAAGCTTCTCTATGATTCATACTTTAGTTATTGTGTTTTGTGTAACAATTTTAAATAGCTACCCATATCATAATACCTAATAAAATGCCACAATGCCAATGCGTTATTGAAAACTGTAACAGAGCCCAGGTTGTATGAAGATAGGGCCAGTGTAAAATCACCATCTCAGCCATGTCACTCAGATGACGTTCCTCGAGTTCTTCGAGGGCCTGCTGGGCTGTGCAGAGGTGAAGCATCCTCATACTGTGGAGATCTCCCCCAAATATCTGCCTGAACTAAGCAAGCAGGGAGGGACAGGGGCATCCCCAGCGAGTAAGGAACTCAGCGTCAGCCCTGCTCATCTGCTCCAGGGACCCGCATCACTGGTGGGTCTTACTCATCCACTGTTACATCTTTCACCTATTATTGATTACGGAGGAAGTCGAATTTTTTTAACAAACCAGTCAAGTTTGATGAAAATAGGATTGAAAATTGACATTTGCTTTATGTCTGTATTGTTAGAATTTGGTAACAAATAATTGTCTCATTAACCTCTTGACCTTGGCAGAATGCTAGCAAATTATTATTAGAATAAGAGTTGTATCATTCTATTATATTGTATTAAATATCTAAAGAGCAAAAATCTTATTTGGCAATGTCTAATAATAAAAATAATGATGATGATGATGATGATGATGATGATGATGATGAGGAGGAGGAGGAGGCAGTTTTCATGTGCATGTGAATAAAAGAATTTCCAACAAGGATGCTTTAGATATTTTAAAATCATTACCCGGTAACAATATTTTAAATTTAAGTAATGTTTATGCCTTATTCAGAAATATGTGTAATGAAACTGTTTAATTTTCCTATCCAAAGTCTGGAAAATCCGGAGATGTTTTACACCACCTCTCCACATTTGAAGAGAAGGACGGGAAACAAGGTGAATTGCTTGTCAAAAGCCTTAAAGCAGGAACAGGCTCCCTTTTCACTCAGCAAGCCGCAGGTGATTGTGGGGCCAAATCAGGCCGTGCTGTACATTTGTTTGGATGTGTCTTTGCTTATGACTCACGACGTATTTGCATGCCAGTCACACGCTCGCATGTCCTTCCGTGCGCCCTGTGCATTTGCGATCCAGAGGTAGAACGAGGTCTTGCCCTGCCGAATCCGGACACAGATTCAGTTGCGGGGCTGGAAGGCGAGCCGACGGCTGCTCTGATGCGCTCCATGCCGGCTTTAGACACACGCTCGTCCACTGCGCCTCCATCCAGAGCAGGTATCAGAGGATTGCTGCTGAGCTCCTCCTGAAGTCTCCTCTTACAAAACAGGCCCTTACATTTCAAATTAATAACAGCAAGAAAATTAATAGTACAAAACAAGTATGGGGCATAGTATGGAGTATGACATAAATTAAGTGAAACTATATCTTCATTAAATTGAAAAAACAATAAGAAGACCAATTTTGTTACATGTTGATATGGACAGTGTCTAGCACAGAAAGGAATGTTTTTCAGCGTTCTTCTAATGTTCTCGATATAATTGATTACTTGCTTTTGTATTTCACAGATATGCTTTTTCCTCAAGCATTTTTATGTACTGGTGCTATTAGTCTTCTTACTTTTACCGGCTGCTTATAGGACAGAGGGACACTAGAGGACAGCACTGCGCCATAATTGTGCCGCATTAAAGAACCAGTCCTGTAATGAATTTGTAACAGATACAGCTGAATTATTGATAAGTTTGTTTTAGTTTCTTTTTTAAATATCTGTTACTTTAAAAATTGGTTTGTTCCAGAGCCAAGTGAGGAGGCTGGGACAGAGCCAGAGAGTGAGCAGACACTCTGGGCCAGCAGGATCCACCTGTTCTTCAGAAATACCTTCTTCCCAGCGTATGAGCGCAGGCTGCTGCTGGACAGGGAGGCAGAGAATGAACGGGTGAAGAAAGAGCAGGTCCAGAGCTCTGCTGCTAACACCACAGAGACCAGCAGGAGCAGGCCCTCTCTGTAGCGTCCATACATCCACCCATATGCCCCTAGAGATGTTGTTCTCTGCTTTCGCTCTAAAACTGTAAAATATATGTCTAATTTTTACATACTAGACAATGTCCGACTCAGGTGACATCGGACACAGGGGAACTGGACTGTTAGTTTTAATGGTCATTCCGTGACAATTAGTAACAAACAGAAAGTGATACAAACCCACTAAAGTGTTGGTAATGCGCCACTTAAATTCCATGGCACCGCTGCGCGTCATGCCACCCTCTGCGCCAGTTTCAGCAGCCTCCAGAACTCTGCGCGTTTACCTAACCGAGGGTGTGTTGTGCTGGTCTGTCACACAGAAAGGACTTACAGAATTCTTGCCCCCAGGATAAGGTTCACCCATCTATTTCATAAATTGTTTTGCTTAAGGCCACCAGCACCAGAGAGGCTAACATGAGGATGAGGGGGTATTTTAAAGGTGAAATATTCAGGCATCAAAAGATAGGAGATCAGTTGTGGATGGCCTAGTTTGTGCAGCGTAACAGCAGTTCATCTTTGGGATAAGGTTAAAATTGCGTAATATTTTAGTATGTAAATAGCTCAAGGTTGGTTGGACAAAATTGAATTAATTTCCAGCTGACATAAAAACCAATGCATGGATTGACCCCAAGGTCATGTAAGCAGTATAGTGTGGAGTCTGCGTTTGCCTTCCATGGACCTGGTGCTCTTCTGGGCCGGTCTGATGAGTTCAGGTTTTGCCTTGCTGATGTGATGAATAACAGAGAACAAACCAGCAGACGGTCATGAGCTAGAGGGTAACAGCTCTTAATCAGCACAGGTGTGAGAGCCAATCCCATGCAGGCCGTCTGCAGGATTTCCTGCTGAAGCTACAGATCTGTGGGCATAGCTATGGGAAGGGAGGTGCTAGACTTGGAAAGTTATGGGGGGAAGATGAGGTGGAGGAGAGAGGAGGAGGCCCTGTCTGAGCCTTGGTCACATCAGTCTCTCTCATCAGATTCCTGGCCAGCAGCTTGAAAAAAAAAAACAAGAAGTCTGAACAAATACCCCCCTTAAAAACATGTGTTTAAAGATTAGCAGGCATTTTTAATTGTACCTAAATAAGATTTTATTGTATATTTGATTAATCAATAAAATACAAGTGGACAGAACACTATATCCAAATGTATGAAAAGTCAAAGGAATAATTTTTTAAAAACAATTATTTACAAGAATATCTGCAGGAATTGAGTTGCATGAACACAAAGGAAAATTAGAATTTCATGGTTTATTTCAACTTTGGGCTGTTTACAAACCACAGATTTTTGAGATGATGGTGTTGTAAATTACCACAAGACAATCAAGGCCATAAACAAAAATACAAAGTTTGTGCATGTCCACTGAATTTTACAATAAACCTCAATGGATGAAAAAAATCTAAACGGAGGAAAAGGAACAGTTAATTGCAAGTTAAACATTATATATATATATTATTTATATACAATTGAAAAATAAATTTGAGTACATTTTTGATATTACAGTTAATTACAAGGATGAAATACCATTTATTGATTAAATAAAAATCTAAAAATTGCATGGTGTGTTTTTCTTATACAATGCAATTATTGCATTACAAACTATGCTGTCTTCTCAGCATATCTGCCAGTTACATAAATAGTGTCGAAGAAACAGTCCATATCTTTTTCAAGTCTTCGGTCAACATCACTGCCACTTTTCAATCCAAAAAGAAAATGTTATTGAATTGAGTAGCGCACAATCTCTTCACTTCCTCTGTGGGGGAAGAAAGAAAAAGAATTCGTATTTAGGATCGGCATTCAGACCATAGATTTGGTCCATCAATGCTACTAGACTGCTCCAACTCGCATCATACACATGAAATATCATTATTAATCATGGAAATTAAAATCATGTCTATAAACCCCAAAACCCAGGCCCTGCCACGGATCGCAGTGGGATAAGATCCCACGGCTACAGCAGGTCTAGAGCAGAAGTTCAGAAATGATGTAATTTGACTGGGATTAGCAGCCCTCTAAATCATGTAGGAACAACATTAGCAAGGAAAACCCAGCACACGCCACCACAAGAGTGACATGTTAACCTGTCAAAACACCCTTGCCGAGAAACCACAGTTACGTAAATTAGTTCAAGCAGCACCTGGGTATCATTTATGAATCAAATTACATCCCAGCCCCGCCCTCCATTTCCTTGTCAGCAATCAATTCTCGAAGAGTGTTAATGAGATGTACCATTCACTTCAATCAAATTGGCATTCTTCTGATTCAAAATCACGTAGAGCTCTCTCTGATCGGACTTCTTGCCAACAACCCAGTAGTCAGTCATTGCCTTTACGATAATTTCTTCATCCTCGTCAACCCTATAAAAATTTTTTTAAAAAAAAGCACCATGCCAAGGTTACTTCAAGATCAATGCACGACAGATATATCCAGGAAGCTTGGCCCCCTTCCTGCGCCTTCCTGTCAGAGGTCCACTCCCTTGAAAAAGCCCCATCAGGCCAGCCTCACCTGACAAAGTCAGCATGGATGTCCCCCAGGATCTTCATGAGGTCAGGGTGGACGGAGGTCAGCGACACGCTGGCAGTTTTGCGCATGTGGATGGTGCTCTTCTCCGCCAGGTTCATGTGGTTGAAGTAGATGAATTTGAACTGCGGTTCCTTCTCTGGCCTGCATAGGTGGAGATTTTCTCATTCGAACAGCCTAGCCAAAAAGAAAGCTCTAGGACAAGACGTCTACCCTACTACCTCCCTGGCCAGGTCTGTGCTCCCCTTCCTGCATTAGCTCGAATTAAATGTGATTCTCTTAAGCCAGAAGAACATCTTGCTTCCAATATTACCATATAGTTTTACACCTTGTAACATCTCATTCTTGGGCACAAACTTCTGTAGCATTAAACTTCTGATGTAATATTCTTGTTGAGAAAGCAGGCCAATTTATTAGTTGGTGTCATTTTTACGGAAATGTTTGACTAATTTATGAGGATGAGCTGTAGGCTACCTGGTAGCTGATCCCTGGGCACCACCATTATCACTTTAGTCCAAAGCTAAAGATTGTCTGACATTTGCTGTGATGTAAGCCCACTGTGCATCTGACACATGCTCAGAATAAAATCACAGAGCTTGCAACTATATCTGTTTTTTTAACCCCAATGACTTGGCTGAATGCATCTGTTGTGGGCAGGGAACGGTGCACGCATTAAACTTTCAGTTAGGATGATGTGTAAGAGGAGCTGCTGATCTGAACAGTGCGAAAGACACCAGTGACAGGCAGAGAGACAGTGTGTGTGTGTGATGTGTAAGAGCTGCTGCTCTA